GAAGCTTTCGGTATAGTCAAGAAGTTCAGTCCAAGTCATTCTCACTTTGACTCCCATTTATGAGAACCTTTAAAGCGTGAGTAAAGTGACACTTACGTTGTATCTGAGAATGTATTTGCTTCTACCTGCCTTATGATTCTAAAAAAAGATTTTGCTGCAACTCGGATTGGAAAAGTAATAAATGGGGTAGAATTTTGATATTTTTTTGCTCTTTTTGTTTTCTATTTTTCTCTAACCTAACGTAGGTGAGTGGCGCAAGAGCAACGATTGCATCTGTCCTTGAATTAGGATTACCACTTTCTTTGAAACTGCCATGCAAAGCAGTATTTAATCCGAAAGAAATAATTGACCCTGAGATAACGTATTATATAAAAAGGGAGATGCTTTGACTTTCACATCGCAATGACCGACGAATTGAAGCATTGGGAATCTGAGGCAGTCTCACTCAGAAGAATCGCCTTCTTCGGAGTGGCCCTATCCACCGTGGCCACGCTGACCTGCATTATCTCCGTACCAATGCTGTACAACTACATGCAGCACATGCAGTCGGTCATGCAAAACGAGGTAGACTTCTGCAAGTCCCGTTCGGGAAACATCTGGAGGGAAGTGACCCGCACGCAAGTGAGTTCAGTTGTTTATTATCCTTCAAAACTGTGAATGCAACATTCAAGTTGTCCTGCATTCCAGGTGCTCACCCAGGCCTCCACTAGAACCCGTCGTCAAGCTGGTGGTGGTTGCTGCGGTTGCGGTGTTTCTCCTTCAGGACCACCCGGACCTCCTGGACAGGACGGGCAGCCAGGAAGTGATGGACAGCCGGGACAGCCTGGGAGAGATGGATCTGATGGACCCCCAGCCACTCCCGCACCACCATCCAACCCATGCTTTAACTGCCCTAGTGGACCTCCAGGGCCGGCAGGAAACCCAGGAGCCCGAGGAGCACCGGGAAATCCTGGATCAGCCGGACAACCTGGAAGCCCTGGAAACCCAGGAGGACAAGGAACTCCTGGACCACAGGGACCACCCGGAAACGATGGACAACCAGGGAATCCTGGATCTCCCGGTCAACCTGGAACCCTTAGAAATGTTCCCGGACCTCAGGGACCAGCGGGAGCACCTGGACCGCAAGGACCTCCCGGACCTGATGGAAGCCCTGGCGGTCCAGGTAATCCAGGAAATCCTGGAGGACAAGGTGCTCCAGGAGATGCTGGAAACCCTGGAGCACGAGGACCGCCTGGTAGTGTCGGTCCCCCGGGCGATGATGGAGGCAATGGAGGTCCAGGAAGTTGTGACCACTGCCCTGTGCCTCGTACCGCCCCAGGATATTAGATGCATATCAGTTTTGAATAAATACTTAGAGCATATCTGGAAATATATACCATTTAATGACGTTAAATAAGATGGCCCAGCCACATGAGAGAGATAACGGATCACTGATGGCGTTGAGAAAAAGGATAATGAAGTAAAAATTTATCTGTGGTACTCAATCGATAAATTAGTAATCAATAAACCCATTGGAAATATTGAAAAAAGCGAAGAACAAGTGAGATAGGGTAGATTTCAAGAAAAGTTCGTCTAATATGTCATTCCTTTATCATTCTCCTCAGTGCTGATAATCGTCTACATTCAACTCTTAAAAAAAACTGAGAAGTTTGGTTTTTGTTAGCAACAATGAATGTTATCACAATGCTCATTCACGCGGCACCACATTCAATTTCAGAAAATGTACGCCAAATCGGACTTACGTTGGAGGTACCCAGTACCCGTTTTTTTAATTCACAATCACGGCAAGAGTTTGATTGCGTTAAAAGACCGCGTGTTTGACTCAACTATTTAAAACCTTCAAAGTGACGAGGAAG